GCGCCAAACTTACGATCCAAGTCGGCGGATTAATCGCGGCCGATACACATTTAAATTGCGGATGATGCGTCGCGTCGGTGGGACGCCGATGCATCATCCACAATTTGTAATGTTAATCTCGTGGGCGCGGTGCCTTCCCTCCGGGTACCGCGATCCGAAAGTGTGTCACAACTAAATCTTCCGTTCGACTTAGCCGGACGGCCGTGCGGTCGAGCGGCACCGCGATCGAAATCGACGTAGTCTACTCGTTGTTTCGATACCCGTCTCGTCGAATTCTTACGATTCCGGTGTTACCGGAACAAGAAATCGGTCAGACTCGCACGGCTGCATGCCTTTGCGTATTTACCGTGGCGCCTCGAAAAGTGTCAATCAACTTGCGCCTTCGTTATATACCGATTCGCCGGAGAAGAATCTCTGGACTTATCGTTTTATACATAGAACATTTTTTTATATCATTTTGTTTACTTATTTATGTTTATCTATTATTGCACTTTTAATTTATATACAGAAGATTTTGACAGATTCTCTATATAATTATGACTTTTGTAAATAGAACATTTATAATAAGGAAAATCATTTCTTTAATAATAAATATTTCGTATATCAATATATTGATTTGTTTCAATGAAAGTTAATACAATTTTTTATTAGTTGGAAGAATTTCCAGACTCTCTAATTAGGGAGTCTAAATTTTATAAATAGAAACTTTATTATAAGAAAAATAATTCTTTTTAATAATAAATAATATTTTATATATCATCATATTGATTATTTAAATGAAAGTTAATACGCGGCTCCAGCCAGTTTCATTGTCGAGAAAGAAGAGAAATGCCTTCCTGTCCGCAAAAAGAACGTTCAATATGCCTGTGTACGTAATATCCGTAGTTCGATATAGTATAATACGGATATAAATATAACCTTCGAACGCATTGCATTGCGTGATGCGAAGGACACAGATTCAGATATGCAAGGCGCACGTTTCATAAGTCCGCGTATCCGTACGCGGGTGTTACGTTTCACAGTAATCCGAAGACGAGTTTCAGCCGTGCGGAATCCAAGAGATTAGAGCTTAATCGCGAGAGTCTAATTGCTCCTCCGAGGCTACGGTAACTGTTCCAGACTGGTACGTTGTATGCCAAGAATACCGGATCTTCGTGCACACACACTAACGCGACCCGAGCACGGCTCGGGAGAAAGTCCTCCGAACGTGCGATATCCACGTTACCATTTCGTGAAAAAAAAAAAAAAATAACCATGTGTCCCGCACGATTACAATGTCGGGAACGAGTGATGGCATTCATGTAGCAAACTTGTGTGTATATGTATGTGCGTAGATTTGCATGTAGATTAATATATTCGCTTATAAATCTAAACCTAGATTTAGCTGATGGACGAGTATCATATTATCATATATATACGATAGAAATAAACAAGCAAAATTTTGATATACAACACACACACACACACACACATGCAGTAGAATGCAGTTGCAATTACGGTATCTCTGGAATGTATCTCAACGCGAGTTTACGAGATACCATGGAATATAGATCTGCAGCGATCAAAGCATTTGAGAAAATCATTTTCACGACAGGAAGCAATTATTGAGACAATGATGTGACAATGCTCGGATAATGTGCACGGATCATAACAAAATGCAGAGAGCACCATTTACGGCAATGATTACGGTGCTCTTTGTCAGAGTAATTTTAGAGAGATATAGGTGTGTATAGTTTCTAGGGTGACCCACTTTATAACTGCATGAAATATTAATGAGAGATATTTTGAAGATTTTGAAACCGATCTTTTCAATTAAGCAATATATTCTTATAAATTAATTTATTGGAATTATTTACTCTCTTAGATATATAAATTTTATAATACAGTCAATTTTATATAATACATAAAAAAATTAAATAGCTGTATCGAAATAGACTCGTTAAAATAGAAGATTTATTGACATTTACTAATATTAAATCGTATATATAATATATACAATATATATTTATTATTACTAATTAATATCCAATCGATGGCATGTGTTCAACTTTTTATTGTGCTTTTCTTTTAGCTGTAGACTATTGATTTTTGGGCTTGGCCTATTTATCCCGAGGTCTGTAGTTAACAACCGCGATTTTGTCTTTTTTTCCGGACACAAGCTTACGCCATCCAACCTTGATATTATTTCAGTTTTTGCGAGATATAGAATTTCCCAGAAACATTGTTTTTTCAGTTACAGAAAGAGAGAAACTAAAAATTAATTTTTCTCAAAAATTAGAATTGAATAAAAAGCATTTTTTTAAGCAATTTGTTAAAATTTTATTATTTAATTTTAATTTAAAGTGAAATTAAAAAATTATATATTTTAATAATTGGAAATTTCATATTTATTTTTTATTTAATAAAAAAACCAATTTTTAAAGTTAAAATTTATAATTTTTTAATTATCTATTTAATTCTTATTGTTAGATAAATAAGTAATAGATAATATGACAAAGCTCTTTAATTTTCAATGCTAATTTCGCAATAATTAACATGGCAGTTTGGACACGATGAAACAATCATTATCTTAATATCTGTACTCGAAAAGATATTCAAGGGGGTCCAGGACACCCGCTGTGAGGACGAAATTTATTTGTTGCAGTGATCTTTCCTTTCTTTGCTCGTGCTCTCTCAATGAGTCTACTTATGTAGGTATCTAGACAACAAAACAAGATCCGTGTGAAAGCCGTACGGCGCTCTCCTGAATGGTTGCTGACGTCAGAGCGCGAGGAAAAATTGCGCAATTTCACCATTCCGAGGCGGAATTTGTTCGCGCAGCTTTCTTCCGGAATTGGATCCGCTTGAGGAGACGGAACGGAAGACGGAAAGAGGAGAGAGATAGAGAGAGAGAGAAAGAAAAAAGGGAAAGAACGAGGGTGGAATGACGATGATTCGTTTAGTAAAACACGTGGCGTATTGTTATGTCTAGCGATGCCTACAAAGCTTTCAATTAACATACATTAAGTATGTTAATACACGATAATCAGTACAGTGAGTCGTAAGAATATACTATAACAGAGAGAATTTACAATATTTTCTATTTATACGTTAAGATCCTTTAAAGTCTAAAACTGACATTAATTCGTTAGAATAAATTAGGTACGCTCATAACTGCAAATTTTCTCGCGAATAATGAAAATTTTATAGCGATTTATTATACGATTTGCACTGATATAACGATATACAGTAAAATTTTATTGCAAATATATCACATATTCGACGACATGCGCTAATTTCAGTGCAACAAGTGTTTATAAAATTAGTGGAGTATTTAACATCTCTCAAAGAAACTTATTGCCGCTATGAATGACACTTCTCCGTTCTCAGTGATGAGTAAATTGGAGAGTTTCCTTGACCCGAATGATCAGTAGATCCACGTAGCTGCTTAACGTACTATTATAATAGCCTGTTACACGTAACCATTTCTTCCCGATGCACGGATGAGCGAGTTACGATCGAGAAGAAACTAGACACTTAATAAGACCGCGTGCGCCGTAATACGTGTTGACCTTCACCTAGGTGCATCTCCCATGATCATTACCGTCGGGTATTACTTTCCTTCCAGGGTATATCCGTATCTCGAAAATATTTTCCGGCCTGGTTCATTGCCCTCGAATCCTTTTCAAAATAGATCGTTACAAACGAGATAAAACTATCCTTCTGAACTCTGTTCTTTAATCCTATGAGAGGATCAGTTTGAAAGTTCACTTCGTGAGTTAACTCTTGCCCTAAATTTCATACTTATCTTGAGCAAAAGGAAAGGAGAAGTAAAACTTTGCGAAACTTCTTTAAGATGTCTTGATTTTGCTTTCTCAGTGATTGTAGTAGATAGTCCAGGGTCGTTAAAGAGCTTAGAATATCAAGAGATGGTGTGAGATCAATCGAAGTTTCTTGCATGAGAATAGCTCATTATTACTCATTTCAATTTTCATCTTTTCACAGGTACGATATGTATAACATATATTTCATTTTTATTAGCATTTTAGTCTTGCATTTGCATGCAAGTCTTTCTGACTTCTTTATTACTATATTCTTAAATCTGAAGATTGATAAAAATGTAGGAATCGTTGGTTCCGCATAATTTTTCTTGAAATAATTTCTCGGAATGCTACTTTAACGTTACTTTTTAATTTGTGATTAAAGCGAGGAAAGGCAAATACAAAAAAATGTTTTAATATGATTGATAACATTACTTTACTCATTAGTACACGCAATTTAATTAAAATTTTTTTTACACAAAACATAAAATCGATTCTAGAAAAGTATTAATATTTTGTTAAAAGTATTAATATGTTTTGTCCTCATTAATTTTTTTCTCATCATATTTGAATAAATTGATGTTCTTGGTATAAATTGTTTCGCACATATTGATAAATAATTAAAAAAAAAAAAAAAAAATACGAGCACCGCATTCCGAAGCCCCTGAACGCGGGCAGCCAAGGAGAACTTTCGCTAGCATCCGGTCTGCGTTCGACTTCCGCCGTCGCCCCGGTGGAGTCGAAATAGAATGGATCACCAAATTCGAGTTTTCGATCGGTGACTCAGCTGTATCGCACTACAGAGATGATTAATAAAATAGAAAGTCGCGATTTTTGCAATCCAATAAAAGATATACCAATTTTTTGTCGCACCATTCATACCTGAACGGAGAAATGTGGAATTGGGTTTCTTTTTTTTCGCATAACAATTAATCGGCGAGACGATACGTAGAATTTCGATTTTTCCGCTAGGCGACGATCGCACCTCTCGCAGTGACCGAGGTGGTTTTTGGTGAAAGCCGACGACTCCAAGAGGGGAGACTATATAGGCCGCGTGTCTTTTCAAGCCTGCTCACAACTAACGCACTCGCCAAAGTCGCCGGTGTCCTTCGAACGATTCGAAAATATCAATCGAATATTATCCAAATCGAGTACCGACATATTCTTCCTCCGGCTCGTGAATAAAAAAGGAAAAAAAAAAACACGAAACTTTCTCCCTCGAGCTTTTTCGGCGCTCTAATAAGGGGTTGGACCCGCGGCAGAAAGAAGTCACAAGTGCCAAGTGTGTGTGCCAATAGGATTATACCGAGTCCTGCTTGCGGAATCAGCCGAATCACGGAGGAAAAGAGGTTTGTGGCCATTCGATATGTGTTAATCGATATTGTGATCAGTGATATGGTATTCTGTATATAGACTGTGGTGCGATTCGTAAGTTTGATACGCGACGGCTGTTTTGCGCCCCCTTTTTTCAAAGAGGTGAGAGACAAGTACGCGATGGCAGATATAAGTCGAGTGTTCATCGAACAGTTATATATGATACTTTGTACTCGTCGAGAGAGATTAATTGTTTCGATATTACTCGAAATTTATTTTTATCTCTGATGAAGGAAAAGAAGTATATATACAATAGTAGATGAATATAGTGCTCATTATCTCTCTTTGTCTCTTTCTCTGTTGGTCTTCATTACACAAATGAAACTTTCTTCGTTCTTAGAACTTATTCGGACTATTTAACTATTTAATTTCGTCATCAGAAATATGTTTCTTCGCTGTCTTTCAATGAAAAGAATTTCGGCGAAAATTTGCGCATAACTGTGCGTCAATTTATCAAACATCGCGGCTCCTCGTCCAATGGAGAAGATTAAAGGAGACGCTTCCTCACCGGTTGTCTTTCTCTTCTCTCATCTCGTCTCCCCACTCGCCTGGTCTCGCGCGCGAGCATACGTTGAAAAGGCAAAAGGGTATGTGGGGTAGCGAGTCAGTATGTCAGCGTACTGGCGTCTCTCCTCGCGCGGAGAGGCGCGTCCTTCCTTCTCCGGCTCTATGTCAGAAATAAGGCCGCGCGTAGGTAGAGAGAGACCATCTGTTATGCGACGCGGCAGTTTATAAAGAGCAAGGATGAGATCGCGCGTTCCATCTAACTTGTGTGATGGAAATGTCAGATCGAATTGAGACCGCACACTTTAACGTCGTTAACGAAATCGATACGCGTTGAATTAATCTGAGTAAGGAGCACGATGCAGTTAACCAGAAATCTTAATTGAGGAATAAATTACTCCAATAAAGGAGATTAGATCTAAGAGAAAGAAGGGTACGAGTGGGTTTGAGGGATGGTTACACGAGACAGATAAAGAGAGGGAGTATGATTGAATTTTATTCTCTGATTGCCCTCTTAGAGCGGCCCGTTATGCTTTCTACTAGATTTCCATAAGTTCCTTTTGTCGCGGCATGATTTTCCGCTTTTCTGATTATGTGATCGCGGTGGGGCTCGTTAGCCGTTGAAATTCAACGCCACGCTAATGTTCCTACAATGTTAGAAAGACCACCGAGTGCAATTTCACGCGCTCAGCAGAACGGATCTAGAAACTATTCGTCGTTCAACAGACGTATAATTGTTAAAGAACGATAGAAATATTTCTACAAGTTTTTAATGACTCTATTGGAGGAATTTATACGCCTTCATCTTAAACAAAAGCAAGAATACATTTTTAAAAATTGCTTTAACATTTGAAATAATTAAATATTCTTCTTAAAATAATTGCTGAAGCTATTATTTAGAGATAATTGTTAATTTAAATTTCTCAGTTGCTAATTAATTATAATATTCTTAATATAAATAAAGATAGCTTTTAAATTTCGAAAAATGTAATTTTAGTCATTATAATTTTATATAATTATATAATACTTTTCTTATCCCGTTTGTGAAGACAAGTAATATAAAGTACAACTGACATTGTTTTCTTATAGGATTTCACATAAATTATTATTAATTTATTACACCGAGAATAGTAATATATTATATTGTTGCATATTAAATTTATTACAGTAAACATTAATGAATAATAAAAAAAAAATATTTCAAACGCATTGGGTTATATATCATTTTTTATTTTCTTCCAGAGAGATTCGTAAAAAAAGATCTGCAAATTATAGTGTAATAAAAAATCTAATAACGCTATAAATATCTCGCGATTGCACCGTTATGGTTTATTCCGTGCGGAATCTTCTTTCCCATTCGAGTCACTTTCACGGGAGTGCAGAATTTGGTGCACGGTGTTCCGTGTCACGTCACATTCTTATAGGGTTTCACCTGGCGTGTGTGTCCGGCGAATAACGGTACCGATGTTACGTCACGAGTACACACCTGTCACGCACGCGTCGCGAACAAAGGGTTGCACCATACGGTTCGGTATAAAATAATAATACGGAAGAAGGGTCTGCTACTGTGACCCTAGATATCTGATTTCTTTAATGAGAAACTTGAACGAGGAGACTTGGGAGACGAGTTTTTTATTCCGATATGATGCCAAGTCTTTCTGAATCATATCCTACTAATGAATTAAGTATTTATTTTTCTAAGGATTTTTAACATTATTTTTACTAGTGTTAGTTAACATCGCGAGTTTAAAGAAGCAAAATTAGTAAACTAGAATTAATAAACATTAATATAACTGACTAAAAATCATAACATGAAGAGAAAACAATAATTAAAATTAAATAGATAATTTAAAATTGTATATGTGAGAGAGAAAAAAGAGAGATTAGAGACAGGAGATAAAGTACGGCAAATTAAAAGATCGAATTAATAAAAATTCGATTTTCTTTATATATTTTATTTATGATAGTTTTTAAGTACTACGCAAACTACAAAATATATGCAATGTTTGCGGAAGACTTTCTTGGCGCGACACTTGGTGTGATTATATAATCTATTTTCTGATTAGCAGAGGGAAATCAATAGTAATTATGTATCATTGATAAAAAACGGGGACACATGTTTCATCTTATCACTTTCTCGTAATTTTCATGTGTATTTTTATTTCAGTGTTTTTTTTAACTTATATATAATTTCATTTTTTTACTTAATTTGTTTTCTCTGTTCTATCGCTTTTTCGTATTCGTACTTAAAAATGTGATAAAAATGTGTCATATAGATATAATTATATTTATATGATATGTTTCTGTAATTAGATTAAATAATACGGTGATTAAAATGAATTAAGGATTTTCTGGCAAATTATAATGTACTTTATATACTTTATATTGCGCTACATATGTATAACGACTTAACTATACATTTCCTGCAAACTGCTCCTTAACTTTGAAAACATGATAATCTATTTAATATCTAAATTCCACGTTGACAAACCACCGCCTTTATGAGTATTTGAAAACAGGATTCTTACTTGTATATGTGTCTTAGATTCCACGTCCGTCGTTCTTCCTGTCTTTCTCCCTCTTTGTCTTTCAAATATCAAACTATTCGTTTCTCTGTTCTTTCTACACTAAAGTATAGTCTTTCGAGACTCGAGCGTCTATGTGTGTATGCATATGTAAATACATAAAGAGCCGGATTTTATAGCGCGCGTAAGTAGGCAGTCCTCTCCTTTTCTCTATGGAAGATCCTCGTCATCCGGAAGATTTGGGTCTCCGACACGAGATTCTTGGAGAATCTGGTTGGTTCGGATAGGTCGCACATTACCTGGACTCACGATTTTCGATAGGGTACACTGCGATGATTAATTTTCGAGGCCGCTTTCTCCTAATAGAGCCCGCCTTTCTATCGATAGTTAGAAGTCCCCCTTTTTGGGACATTAGTGAGTCTGTAGATTTTCGTTTCGTTGCTCACGTTCTTTATATACGATGTCCATACTAATCACATTCTACTTTCTTCTGCTATATTTATAGAAAATTTGTAAAGACGTTCTTCTCTTCAAATTAAAATCTTATTTAATAATTAAAGAATACATTTTTTAAGTTTTGGATGTTAAAATATTTTTGTATTCAGACATTAAAATCTATATTTAGATAAATATATTATTTTATGAATATTATTTTATAAATATTATTTTTAAATATTAATTTCGTAACAGTTTATAAATGTGAGAAAATAAATTATGTATTATAATGTATATGAAACTAATGACATACTTGCATATCAAATTATTATTAGACTAATATTTTAAAGTTATAAAAATACTCTATAATTGCAAATATAATATATACTTGATAATAGATTTAAATAATGTCGAATCGACTTTAAAATATTCTCCAATGTCGCATTTCCTAATTGGGCTTTTCAGTTGAGAAAATTCAAGTAAAAGAATATAATTGGTCGATCAAATTTAATTCCTGAATCATATACGATATAAGGCTTCGACTGCATAATTATTGCTCATAAATAAACGGTAGAGATTCAGTTGAATTTTGACTAAACTTGTACGAGTTTACGATAACGCGATGAACGAGAGTCTAGATTAAATGATTGAAGAAGCAAAATGACGGTTCACAGTGACTGGCGGAAACTCGCCCGTTGATTTCCTCTTTTTTTTCTCTCCTTGGAATGTTTTGTAGCAGCTCCGACATTTTCGACAGAACTTTTAATATGACGTATATTCGGTATAGTTATTTAGGATGCTCGTCAATCGACGAGCGCATAAGGGATCTCGTATATGTGATCCGACGAAGATGAAAGACCAGCCGGATGGCTGAAAAAAAGCCGGGGGAAATAATCGGGGTGAGAAAATTCGATGAATGAAGGTAGTCCGTCGGGTCTTTCTCCCAGGTAAAAAAACATGTGAGGAGAAAGAATAACCCTTACCAGAGAAGGAATGTTTGAATTCCGGCTCTCAAATGGGTGTTTGTCAAATATGTTACACACGACCGACGAGAAGTCAAATAAAGCTATTAGATTATACATTTGTCTGTCATAATTTCAACAAACATACATAGGTAGTATACCGATATTATAATTTCACGATCCTTCGATCCTGGCATATTTGAGTAAATTTGCATTCTCGTAACATCAATTTCCTCGACAATGCAGCGTCTGTCGCGTTATATCTTTCCGGTTTGACATAGAATTCAGCAAATTTGCTCAGTATTTTATATAATTCCAATATTTAAAATTAAAAATATCAAATATTTATAAATGCAGGTATAATAAAATATAATCGTGCACGAGAAGATCTGTTTATCGGAAATAGGTTCGCGTTGCACACGAATTACGCAATCGTCGCAAAAAAAATGGGGAAAGAGAACGTTCACTCGCACTTTCGCGTATTATCTACTGTTCGTTATCCCTCGACGTGGGCCGGCTTCCATAAGCCATTTCCGGATGAACGAGTTAGCATCTATGCGGGTGGAAAATCCAGGTCAACTCACTGCTGTCGATTAGCTTTCCAGTCGCATTCTTATCGGTTGTGGTTTTACGTAAATATAGGCTTATGCAGACCGCAAATATTTCGAGAATTGAAAACGAAAGTATGAAATGCACAACAAATACACATTCGACGGATGATGTCATTTTTATCAAGTTCCTACTCTGTTCAATTGTATATTATAAAAGCCAGTTTCATTTCATCGGCTGATTAAATTAAAAAATTGCCAACTTAAAACTGATCAACTTTATCTACATTTCTAATAAAACATGCTCCGCAGTTGGCTGCAATTCTTAAATTTGACCGGTCGATTGAGATAATCGGAGATGGTGAAACTGGTCTTAAGTGATTAAACGATATCAGACATTAGTCATGCAAATCGAGAGGAGGAGGACTTTATTTTTATAAAGTACACCTAGAATCCGTTTCCGAAAAGTCATAATAAATTTAACGCGAGTGTTTCGCTATTCCGCATGAGTGTTGCGAAATCTTGTGCATTGCTCGCGCAGCTCTTTACTCCCGACGCGACGCCGGGTTATACGACGCAGTGCGAAACGACGATTCGCGAAATTGGACTTAGGAGAGATCAGCAGAGTCCGTATATCGTGACTCAATTCTCAAGCGGAGAAACGTCCCCGTTTCAACGACTTCTGCGCCGTCCTTCGTGCGATTTTTTGAAATTGGAGCCAGTTCGGCTGCAATGTAGTGTCGCTTCTGGTTTCCATCGCATCGGGATCCCGTGTTATTCGAGTCACGAGTCGAGCATCCATATCCTTGTCTTTCGCCTCTCCATCTCTCCGAAGGTCTGTTCTCTCTTCGTTGCAAAACGACCCCGTATGACGGATGGCTCGCATTCCGAGCTTCCATTGTCTCGTTCTCCATCGGGAAACTGATCAAAACGTGATCCAAAAAATTTGCGACTTATATATCGATGCCTGAAAATTCAACGACCCCGTCGCGTGCTGTCACTATACTTACCGTTCGCGTCGAATATAAATTTGGGAGTCTCTTGATGACTCCGCTCCAAAATTTCGCGTATCAGCTACTGAATTATTATTATCGCGGGAAATGGAGAACATTGCGCGCCACGGATGAATATCATCACTTACGTCACTTTCTCATTACGGCATCTCTAATTTTAACCTTTCCATTGAAAATCTTTTTTTCAATGAAAACTCCATTCGCGCGACGTTCGTGTGACGAGCTATCTCGCTCATCGCGTGTCTTTCACCTGTGCTGTAAGACCCCTACCACTCTTTGAGGAGGGAAAAAAAGAGAACGAGAGGATGAGAGAGAGAGAGAGAGAGAAAGAGAGAAGAGAACGCGAGCGAAAAAAAGAGCAGGAACGATCGAACGCATGGTAGGGATATCCGTCGACGGTGGGCCTGTTTGGGCCTGACGTCGCGCGTAATGTGGAAGACGAGGGGAGCGATCGAGATCTTCAGTAGGTCACTGGGACGTGGCTCGTGGCCGAGACGAGTGTGGCTCGCACCTTCAGTCGGTCCCCGTCGACCAGGAAAACCACCTCTGGGCCCGTCGAATCCTCGCGATCGGACACGAGAGCACGACGGTAAAAATTAAATTAAACAAAAAAAAATTGAGAGAGAAGGAAAAAGCGCATAACGGGCCTAATGAGGACCAACTGACGCGAGTTGTTGGAGTTCCCGTTGCGGTCGGTGCATTCGTGGGTTCGTTAAAAAGGGAAGAGCAGGTGGCTTTCGCGGGGGAATTGTCCAAGTGATTTTGCGCGTTTCTTCCGTAGAACGAGGCTCCCAGGGACCGGAAGGATACGCAACGAGGTGCATCGATTAATTGTTCTTCTTTCGCAAGACTTTCGTTCCGAAGAAGATTCGCAGTCGTGCTTTCGTTTTGCTCTCGCGAGAGATGTGTATTGAATTTATCCTCTTCGATATCTTTGCAAATCTGCCTATAAGAATTTACATATTTTAATTTTCATTTCAATAAACGCAGACGAGCATGATGGACATTGTTATTTTTTTTTTATTATTACAAACTGATTTTATTATTGTAAATTTTGCAATAAACGTGCACGACTCGCGATAAACGTGTATACGCACGACTGTATGATAATTTGTTTTTCTTACATTTTTAAAACGTTATAAAACATAGAACGGTGTGGTGATTCTATACGGTGTTACGCAAGTGTATATTTTTTCTTCAAGATTATATAGATTTCGAGGACACTTCTGATCAACAAGTTCCGTGTTCCGAGATGTGGGTTAAATGTTTATTGCGTAACGTTCTGCGTGCAGTCATTGACAAGTAAATATGTCACTTGCGCGTCCGACTAGCGACGAGATTGGCGGCTTATCTTTTGCGTCATTTTTCCTGCATACTTTGCATACTTTTTATCTAAATCCTTTTTTTAAATTCAATATAATTTTGTTTAATTATACACTTGAACGAAATTATATTATGGGTTTAAAAAAATTTATTAAGATTTTATATTTTATATAATTATATAATTATTAAATCTTACACACACACACACACACACATATATATATATATATATATATATATATATATATTATCAAATAGAATTTAACAAATAATATCGTATCACTGTGAATTCTTATAATTAATGCGATTTCAAATCTTATTTCCTTCAGATTAATAATGGATAATGTGCTCATAATTTTAAACTCATAATGACGTAACTAATTTTTTCTTCTTTTTATTACAGAGAGGACACGCACATGATGGAGAGGACGTGGCGGAATATACGGAAGACAGCCTTTATCCTATTGCTGCCCTTATTATTGGCCGTGAGTAAAACATTATTTTCTCAAAGATTGTATAATTAGTGCGCATTCCTGCGTATCAACAATAATTGCAAATAAGTCGGACATGACAAATATGCAGCTTTTTTCTTCGCTAAACTTTCAAGCACTTAGCGATTATATCGCGTATCGGTCTCTTTTTTCTTCTGGCGTGTGAGATAAGTGGATTCGGGTGTAATGGATTCTAATGCCGGCGTTTCGCGAGTTAATCTCGCGCAAATGAGCCAAATAAATCATCCATGCCAAACCCATCGGCAATCTTCTAATTCCGCCGGAGGTCGATTACCGCATTCCCGCGTACGTGCGCGCGATTACTACACGCATCCGTTTCATAACGCCTCACAGCAAATCCGCATGCCAACGACGATCGACATTGTAATTTCACTGTGCGCAATAATTTCTCAGTCGAACAACGGAAGATTATGCTACACTCGCGGTTAGCTCGCGCAATCTCCCCTTTAAAGTGACAGACAGGTCGTTAATACGGTAACCGTTATGTTGTCGCGGTTCGAGTTATTTACGCACGTTATGTGGCGTGTGTACCTTGTACTTTCGCGTGACGTTTCGTCAATTAAATGTTTAGAAATGAAATTATTAGAGCGATCCAACAATGTATATACAGGATGTCTGGCATAAGGTGTCACACCGAAAATGTACAAGTATATAAATCTTGAAGTATCAAGAATTTTTGAGTTATAAGCGACTGAAAATGAAGGGTTTTTTGCAAACTAAGCCTTCTGGAAATAAAATATTAACAAAACCACATTCTCCAATTAATTCCGAGTGGAGTTTACTTTAATAAAATTTTAATTTAAGGTTTAGTTATAAAGATACACGCAATAGCAAAAATTGGGAACATGCAAAAAATGATGGCCTCCCTTGACATTTTTGCTGAGGAAAAATTGTCTCCAAATAACGAGATCTATATTTTCGATTTGACTTGTGTCAGACACCTTGTATATGTACCTCCTCGACATTTTACCTTTGTATATTATTTCTAAATATTGATTAACTTTGTCTCTATTCGCGAGTTGATGTATAACGTTATTTTGAGCAATATGTTTTATTAATTCGAATATCGCATGGATTTGCTGACACATGAATAATCCTTGCATTCATCTTCCGGATGATAATCGACTTTCTCCGGATGATATCGCAAACTGAGAGAAGATTTGCATATATATCTCCGATGTTAAATATTTATCGAGTTCGTAACGCGTTGTCTCTTTTATCGAAAACATCACCCATGTATTTCCGCTGCTATACAAACATCCTCAAATCTTCGGATCTGCTTTACTGTCTTCCACGCGCAAAGATGCCAAAATATCCGAGGAATCGATCATCTCAAAAAATTCAGAGACACACTCGAGGTTCTTTTTTTTTTTTTTGAAAAAAAAAGATTGATGCAATCGTGAAAAAATCCATCCGGACGAAAAGTGATACTTCATTGATGCTCGACGTCTTCGACGAGACCGCTATGTACGTGCCGCTGGCCGAGAATCAACACGACGTTGAGTTAATGCTTAAGAGGAATCACCGTAGCCGCGGGCGCTACCTGTGCCACATATATAGCCGCGGCTTTCCGAGGCAAAAGTCTGAATGAAGCGGCCCGCAATCGCTGCGTCGGATAATCGGTAAATACGGATATGGCTCGCGGGGACGCGCGCGCTCAAGTCACCGTCAATGCATGATGATCGTCGAATGATTGTTCCCAGCTGTGCTTCACGTGGGAATTGACTCTTCCGCGTGAGAACTAAATCAATTCGTACGGAAAATTCTGCAGCGCGATTATCTGGTACATCTGTGTCGTATATATGCGTTTTCGTTGGCACGATCGAATTTATTACGCAGACAGAATTTTCTCGTAAAATTTACCCTCAAATTTTATTTATCACAATAAGAAATATTCATATCTACTATAATAAGATATAAAATATGTTCGATTAATTTTACTATGTATAATAGATATATTAATATTTTATTAATCAGAAAAACTCTTATAAAATTCTTTCGATATTATATTGTCCCACGATTATCATGATTTTCAGGGTAAATTCTAAGAGAAAATTCTCTTCGTGTACAAACAAAATAGTGCAAAATTAATTTTATTAGGATGGAGGGAAAGGTAATGATTTTGAGATTTATACAATTAATTTCTTACAAAAGTATTTTTTTCGATGCATTTTCTTCGTTATTTTCATTGTTCGTATGTAAATTCTCTTATTGCTTCATTGTTCTATTCTTATGAAAGTTCACCTAGTGCATCGCGCAGCTTCTGAATTAAAAATCAATCGCAGAGGACGCGTTAACTTTGATAACACAGCTTTGACAGGTTGATCGATCATGATTGTTAGTTCTTGAAAAAATAATGAACAAAACGAACAAAGGTACAGCTGACGATATCGAAATTTCGTGCTATGACATACATTGAATTTTTGAGAGGCTGACCGTCAAGGAAAATTAGTCTTTCTATTTCGCAATTTACGGAGCTCAAATATCTCCTGTTTGAGCTCCTTTCCCTCGTCAGAATTATTTATGCAACATCGTTCTCGGGCAACATAGCGGGCAACACAAGAAAAATGTCGAGCGTAACGAGATTTAACCCGCTTAATAATTGATGAGAGAAAACGTGGTGTGAATCAAATGGGATTCGCATTTGCGAGGAAAACTGGTGCATACAAACGTCCAATTTGTAATTGCCTGCGTTTCGAGATTTATCGAGGGGGATGAGACGAGCACAGAACGAGGAACATCGAGAGGCAGGTATTCGTGCTATAATCTACAATCTATAATACGTGTTTCCTTTCGTACACGCAACGTGACACACGCAAATGTAATGCAGTCATCGGACGACGACGGAGAATAAAGTAGGAGGAAATATATACGCGCAGCCGGTGCATCCAACATCTATGCCGTGGACACATACATCTGTATCGGTGTATATACGATTCGCATACACACTCTAACCACGCCGGTCTGTCTACATATAGCCGAGCCGTCGAACCGAAGATAGTAGGTCACTGCGCCGGACGCGATGCCCTCTCTTTCAACTATACTCTCTAGACAGTGCTCTCTCTCCGTCTGTCTTTCTTCCGCACTGTCTTCATTTCTTTCCCTCTTTCTTCGCCGTTCATCAACTACCTTTTTCGTCTTTTCACCTGTCTCACGCTTTTTCTTTTCCACCATTTCCTCTCGCTCCCCCTCGGAATCTCTGTCTCTCTCTCTCATCCCTCCTTTTATTTACGGATAATTTATAGCGCGACGCATAACTTTATACCATTTTTATCAAACAATCGGTAACTGGCTTCCTTGAGAAAACTTCCGGGCGAAAATTCTCCGAGGAGTACTCTTTTGTGAATATTCTGATTTAATTTAATGTCAAAACTGCGGATTATAATCAGATCTATTGTGTGTTTATGAAAATTCGTAATTCGAAGTAGACAAATCTGAGAACTGTACATGTGCGCGTTCTTGTTTTTGAAATTAAAAAAGTTGAACGTGCTGCGACGTATAAAAGTAATTAAAAATTTTTTAAGAAACATTTTTACCTAGAATGAAATATAACAAAGAATTTTCCTTAATGACGCTTAAGTCGATTCCATTAGTTACGAATGAGAAAGAACGACTTTCCTCGCCGAGTTCAGTCAGCTAGCGAACCCTCTTCATAGTTTTGACGAAATTAGAAAAATCTTCAAAGGTGCCGGTCATATTGGGAACAGGGTTGTGGAGATAGAGGAGGTACGGTTTATTCATAAAACACGAAACTAATGCATCTCACTAATTCACCCCGACTATAATCCGCGCATAATCTTTTGAAGTTGCAATACCTTTGATTCTCGCTTTTCAGCCTTTTATTTTCTCTCAACTACACGCAACGCGGGCGCAAAAAGCAATCTAAAATAAGTGTTGCATTAGAGTGATATTATTCTAAAAAGTTAATAAGAAATTAGCATACGATTGCAACTATACGTCATTTCTTAATAGATATAACATCTAGAAACAGAGGAATGTATTATTCTTCGATTTCCATTTATTTGTAACGTCAAATGACTATGTCATTCAAATGTCAGAGCACGGTCTTATATAAAGGTCAGGACACTTCTATATCAACTACATGCTGTCAAACGTAACAAAATGTAACTGATATAGCTGTCAACTCAGGCCGATTTATTCAATGTGCGCCAGCGCAGATTTTTTTTATTTTGACAGTTTTTGACAGTTTTGTGTTAGATTTTGTGCACAATTGAAAAAAATAAATACGGTTAAAAAAACTGTCGGAATAAATTTTAAACATTAAGAATAGTTTTTATTAAATTATTTAAAAATAGTAAAATATATTATAATAAATATATTATTATATGACAGGCCTGAGTTGGTCCGCCATATTGGTTACATTTTTTATACACTTCATTTTAATGAGGGTTCTGATACGTATAATGTAAGAAAAAGGATAGAGATTACGTATGATTACAAAATAGCAAAATGCGGTAGATATAACAAACATAAGTAATTGTTTCGTTTTTTAAACGCGAAGATGCGTGATTTAATAGTTATTGAAAGTTTTCTTAGCCGTAATGTCAGACCGCCATTGACAACTCGTAATGAATGGGAATGAAACCGTTCCTGTGTATTTGCGACTCTTAACAACGTGCAATCTTGCGGACGACCACAGAGTCTCCGGCTGCACTCGTTCCGGCAGCCAGTTTAGCGATCTTGTAATTCGAGATCGTTAGACCTTTCCCATGTTGCGTTTCCACCATCGATGACGATCCTGTAATCACGAAACACCGCCTTACACGAAACTGTTAATTTTAATTGCATTTTCGTACAATGTAACAGGTTTTGTTGCATTCTCAAAATAAATGCATTTGAGAAGATAATAATATCAATTTTTTTCTAAAGAGAGAGAGAGAGAGAGAGAGATTATATATATTCGTGTGGGTGTGCGCGGATATTACCGGCCTTATTTTGCAGGAATGTATGTA